TCAGGCCTAATTTGGGTGTATATGCAAAATTCCACACTATTAGGACTGATATTACACGTTTGGTGCACAATAAAAGGCAAGTCGGACGAAGATATATATATGGGAGCTATATGTAAATTTTTACCGATTATCTCCAATTTCAATAGGGTTCGTCCTTGGGCCAAACAAATGATTTGTGCAAAATTTCATCTTAATCGGATAATAAATGCGACCTGCATTTTGTTCACAAGAATATATGGACCGACGGGCGGACAGACGGACTGACATGCATAAATCAACTCAGAAATTAATGCACAAAGACATAACACCCTTATCACTATGTGGTGTAGGGTATAAACACACCTCCATACTTACTTTTGAGAACCTTCATAGAATCACTTTTTGAGTCGATTTATGCATGTCAGTCCGTCTGTCCGTCCGTCCGTCCGTCTGTCTATGTATTCTTGTGAACAATATGCAGGTAGCATTTATTATCCGATTGAGATGAAATTTACCAAACAATATTTTTTTGGCCCAAGGACGAACCCTATTGAAATTGGTGAGAATCGGATCAAATTTAGATATAGTTCCCATATATATCTTCATCCGATTTCGGGTTAAATGTGCACCAAATGTCCACTATCAGTCCAAATTATCTGAATTTTGGCACACCCAACCGAGTTCGGTCTAGAAGCAAGTATATCAAATTTGGAGAAAATCGGTTCAGATATAGCTATAGCTCCCATATATATATATTTCATCCGATTTGATCTTTAAGACCCTCACATTCCTACTATGCACTCCACAACCGTGATATTTGGTACCAGATATTAAATGGAGCACAGAAATAGCTGTTTTAAATTTTATCGAAATCGGTTCAGATTTGGATATAGCTCCCATATATATCTTCATCCGATTTCGGGTTAAATGTGCACCAAATGTCCACTATCAGTCCAAATTACCTGAATTTTGGCACACCCAACCGAGTTCGGCCTAGAAGTAAGTATATCAAATTTGGAGAAAATCGGTTCAGATATAGCTATAGCTCCCATATATATATTTCATCCGATTTGATCTTTAAGACCCTCACATTCCTACTATGCACTCCACAACCGTGATATTTGGTACCAGATATTAGATGGAGCACAGAAATAGCTGTTTTAAATTTTATCGAAATCGGTTCAGATTTGGATATAGCTCCCATATATATCTTCATCCGATTTCGGGTTAAATGTGCACCAAATGTCCACTATCAGTCCAAATTACCTGAATTTTGGCACACCCAACCGAGTTCGGCCTAGAAGTAAGTATATCAAATTTGGAGAAAATCGGTTCAGATATAGCTATAGCTCCCATATATATCTTTTATCCGATTTGATCTTTAAGTCCCTCACATTCCTACTATGCACTCCACAACCGTAATATTTGGTACCAGGTATTAGATGGAGCACAGAAATAGCTGTTTTAAATTTCGGTTCAGGTTCAGATATAGCTATAGCTCCCATATATATATTTCATCCGATTTGATCTTTAAGACCCTCACATTCCTACTATGCACTCCACAACCGTGATATTTGGTACCAGATATTAGATGGAGCACAGAAATAGCTGTTTTAAATTTTATCGAAATCGGTTCAGATTTGGATATAGCTCCCATATATATCTTCATCCGATTTCGCGTTAATTGACCACCAAATGGCCCGAATTTTGGCATATGTGACCGAGATTAGCCTTAAAGCAAATACAACAAATTTGGAGAAAATCGGTTCAGAAACAGCTATAGCTCCCATATATATGTTTTATCCGATTTGGTGTTTAAGTCTCTCACATTCGTAATATGCACTCCACAAGAATGATATTTGGTACCAGATATAAGATACAGCCCAGAAATAGCTGTTTGTAATTTTATCGATATATATCTTCATCCGATTACGGGTTAATTGTGGACCAAATGACCGATAAAAGTCCAAATGGACTGAATTTTAGTACATCGGACCACATTCAGCCTAGAAGCAAGTATATCAAATTTAGTGAAAATCGGTTCAGATATAGATATAGCAACCATATATATGTTTCATCCGATTTAGTGTTTTAGTCCCTTACATTCGTAATATTCACTCCACAACCGTGATATTTGGTACCAGGTATTAGATGGAGCACAGGAATAGCTGTTTTAAATTTTATCGAAATCGGTTCAGATTTGGATATAGCTCCCATATATATCTTCATCCGATTTCGGGTGATTGACCACCAAATGGCCGTAATAGCATCAATTTTGGCAAATCCGACCGAAACCAGCTTAGAAGCAAGTACACCAATTTTAGTAAAAATCGGTGCAGATATAGCTATAGCTCCCATATATATCTTTCATCCGATTTGGTCTTTAAGTCCCTCACATTCGTAATATGCACTCCACAGGAATGATATTTGGTACCAGATATCAGATAAAGCCCAAGAATAGTTGATTTTAATTCTATTAAAATCTGTTCCGATTTGGATATGCCTCCCATATATAACTTCATCCGATTTCGTGTTAATTGTGCATCAAATGGCCAATATCAGCCCAAATGGCATGAATTTTGGCAAATTCAACCGAAACCAGCCTATAAGCAAGTACACCAATTTTAGTAAAAATCGGTTCAGATATAGCTATAGCTCCCATATATATGTTTCATCCGATTTCGTCTTTAAATCCCTCACATTCGTAATATGCACTCCACAGGAATGATATTTGGTACCAGATATCAGATAAATCCCAAAAGTAGTCGATTTTAATTTTATCAAAATCTGTTCAGATTTGGATATAGCACCCATATGTATCTTCATCCGATTTCGTGTTAATTGTGCAACAAATGGCCAATATCAGCCCAAATCACCTTAATTTTCGTACATAAGACCGAATTCAGTCCTAAAGCTTATACGTGAAATTTGGAGAAACCCGGTTCAGAGATAGCTATAGTTCGTAAAATCCACGATAGGATTAGATAGTATTTGATTGTGTACCAAATATCTCATAGAGCTCTGAAATGCCCTGTATAAACCTTTTTACGAGAGCTCTACTAAATATGCATAGTGGTGTAGGGTATCATATAGTCGGCCCCGCCCGACTTTTGAGCTTTCCTTACTGGTTTTGTAAACAAAATTCAGGTCGCATTTATTATTCGATTGAGATGAAATTTTCCAAATAACATTTTTATGGCCTATTAAAATTGGTGAAAATCGGTCCAAATTTAGGTATAGCTCCCATATATATACGACCGATTTCAGGTTTATTGTGTCCTAATTGCCAAATATTAGTCCAAATGGAGTGCATTTTGGTATTTCCTACCGACTTCAGCCCACAAGCATGTACTTCAAATTTGGTGAATTCGGTTCAGATATAGCTTTAGCTTCCATACATATGTTTCATCCGATTTGGTGTTGAAGTCCTTCACATTCGTATTACGCACTCAACAAGCCTGATATTTTGCACCAGATATCAGATGCAGCCTAGCAATTCATGATTCAAATTTTATCAAGATCGGTTCAGACTTGGAAATAGTTCCCATATATATCATTATCCGATTTCAGGTTTATTGTGCACCAAATGGCTAATATTAGCCCAAATAGAGTGAATTTCCGCAATTCAACCGAGTTTAGCATAGAAGCAAGAATTTCAAAACTGCTCCCATATATATGTTTCATCCGATTTGGTGTTTAAATTTCTAGCTTTCGGAATATGCACTCTACCATAATGATATTTCGTATCATATATCTCATAAAGCTCAGAAATTGCGAGAGCTCTACTAAATATGCATAGTGGTGTAGGGTATCATATAGTCGGCCCCGGCCGACTTTTGAGCTTTCCTTACTGGTTTTTAAGATGAATGTTGTCAAATATTATTTATAAAGGGCTTTAATACATACATTGTTCCTCAATATATATTTAAACATAAAACAACAAAAATCGATAAAAAAAAATATTTATCGAATTTTTTACATCATTTCACGCTGAAGAGCACAACTGTACTTTTAATTTGCAATTTGTATTGATTATCCATTAATTATTTCACCCCAATTGATTTGTCAATGTAAGACTATCAAGAGACATGTGATTTTTCTTTGCAACTGTCAGATGTATTCTATCGATATTTTACGAAGACCACTTTTTGGCCTGTTGAAAAACACTCTCGACTACAAAAAAAAAAAAAAAAAAAAAAAAAAAAAAAAGAGAAACGACACAAATGTCTCATTTATATAAAAATGTGTTCTGTCACTTGAGGAGATAAATATTGGCTATTAGTCTGAATGGACAGACATCAGTGTATGTGAAGGAAATCGCATAATTGCTAGTTGAATGAAAATGCGTAGCTTTTGAGAAACAATGCGAAGAGGATACTATTAGAGATGGTAGTCGTGTACATATAGATATGTTTTCTTTCTTTACCTCAGGAAAATTCGAACCCGACCAAACATATGTTGAACTGTTTTTGTGTGTCTTTGGTACATTAAAAACATATGTTTCGAATCTCGTGGCGAAAGCTTGATTTGAAATATTTGTTTTTTTCCACAACTTCTGAAACACGTGGGACCACCGTGATATGCTTTAAAATTTATATTCCTGGCGGGTAAAATCATTTTTTTTTGTTTCAGCGTTGATATCATTTCGCATTGTCAACTATCTCTAGGGTATATTATGTATGTTCTCCGAATAAGTGTGGCGAGTATACCAAAAAATGCACTTAAGTGATCAGAATACACATCAGATTGTAAAAACATAAATTTTGTATATTTTAAAGTTGACAAAAAATGGAAAACTCCACTGCGATTTATTTAAAGAGATTCTGCAAATGATCAGTGGGTCTTTGTTTATATTGCCCAACTACCATTATATTGAGGTGCACAAATGATGTTTACATATCAATTGTAATGACACATCAATTTTGATGTCATCAAGATAAAAGAATAAATGAAAAAAAAAAACAATTGATAATGAAAACATACTCGGGTATTCTGCTACTATAAAAACTCGCATGAATCTTGCAAATGGTATCAGTTACATTATCAACTCCCAACGCAGCTTGCAATCTTCAAAAGTAAAATTCTTTCGGAAAAAAGAAAATAAATCAATCAACAATGGCAATTGTCAGTGGAAAATCAACTCTCATCACTGTGGCATTGGTGGCCATGGCTGCCCATCTTGGCATGGCCCAGGTGGTGTCACCCAACTGTTGTCCCACCAATGTCGAAGTTGTGCCCTCATTCGATTTGTCCAAATATTTGGGTTTATGGTATGAATATGCCAAATATCCTGTCTATTTCGAGGCCGATGGTGTTTGTATAACCGCCGAATATTCATTGTCAGCTGATGGCAGTGTGGGTGTTAAAAATAGCCAAGTGAATGGAACGTAAGGACAATTCCAACTAATCGCGAGAACCCACATCAATGGATGTGGGAACGTGCATACATGCATTGATTAATATCCTATTGCTTTTGTTCTTTTTATAGAACTGGCCAGCCAGAAGATATTCTGGGCACTGCAAGTGTTGTTTCCAATGCTAAATTGTTGGTGAAATTCCCTGTTAGCCCCGCCTTTGATGTTTCTAGCAATTATTGGGTTCTTGATACGGACTACAGCTCGTACAGCGTTGTCTACTCTTGCCAAGAGCTACCCAATGCCCAATCCTCAAGTAAATATTACAATGCAGTCATTGGTTATTGTGCTTCATTAAAAATAACCTGTTTTACTTTTCTTTTAGCCATTGTTTGGATTCTAACTCGCCAAAGATTGCCATCCGAACACACTGTACAGACAGCCTTGAACGTTCTTAAGAAAAATGGAATTTCCTTGGATCCATTGACTGTTACTAATCAAGTTGCGTGCTGCAATTAAATCGTAGTGGAATAACAGTCTCCCGCTATGATAAAGCCCAACTTAAATGTGATTATAAATTTGTTCATTTAGTAGAACTAATGTGAAATAGTAAATTTTGAAATAAAAATCAAAAATAAATTGAAAAGTGGTATTGAAGATAATATTTGAGTTATTCTTTTTTAAAAAGGAATCATTTTATAACATTTTTTTTTTCAAAATTAAAAGAAAAACTATTTAAATGGTGGTACTAGAAGATGAAGGCCGATATATTCCATCTTAACAGCATATCTCGAGTTAGTAGAAATAATGGGATGTGTGTAATTTGAAAACAATATCAAACAAAAACAATAACATTTTATAAGAATTACAATTATTCAAAATTTCGATCATTTGTGGGGGAGGTACAAGAAGAAGTGGGCATCTCCGAGCTCGATCTAAGTCTTACAATATTACGATATGGCAAGTTGAGATCAAATCGGATACTCCCTTTGAGAGTTATCGTGCTCATCAATCAGCCAGACAGACAAGCGGACGGACGGACATCGTTAAATCGACTTCAAATATCTTGAAACGGATTTGGTCCAAAGAGACCTGGGGACTAAAACTGTTATTACGATGAGGCATGTTATCAAATGATACATATCCTATGTAGACCTATATTGACAGTTCTCTGCAAGCCCTCGTATAACATTACCCCCGATATTCGGTACTTTGATTGTAGCCAAATTTTTCAATAAAATTGTCTGAAAATCCATAAAAAGAGTTTCTTCTGTGTACTTTATCTCTTGGAATAGTATTGTCTTTATAGCTCCACAATATTGGATATCCCCCATATAACTGTACCTCCCTATATTCGGCATTTTGATGATTTTAGCTACATTTGCAAATGGAAATGTCTAAAAATTCATACTAAGAGTTCCTTCTACACACTTTACCCCCTGGATGAGATATGTCTATATAGGTCCACGAAGTCGTATAGCCCACATATAACGGTAATCCCCCCCTCCTTATATTCGATATTTTAACGATTTTAGGGACATTATTTACTGGAGTTGTGTCAAATTTAATAGTTGGAGTTCGTAATGGGAACTGAAATCTATGAAAGTAAATTCAGAAAGTAAAAAAAAGTAAAAAAGATAAAGGTAACAAGTAAAAAAGCAGTAAGTTCGGCCGGCCGAAATTTGAATACCCTCCACCATTTGGAACGAATTAAAAAAATTAAAAAAAAAATAATAAAATCCATTAAAAATTCTTTTAAAATCTTTAAAATATCTAATAAAGGAAGGTGCCGATATATGGGGGGATATACGATATTGTGGACCTATAAAGACAAATCTATGTCTGCGTGTAAAGTACTTACAAGGAACTCCTTGTGTGGATTTTCAGACAATTCCGTTGAAAAATGTGGGTAAAATCATCAAAATACCGAATATCGGGGGGTACCGTTATATGGGGGCTATACGATATTGTGGACCTATATAGATAATTCTCTGCCGAGGTATAAAGTACCCACAAGGAACTCCTTGTGTGGATTTTCAGACAATTCCGTTGAAAAATGTGGGTAAAATCTTCAAAATACCGAATATCGGGGGGTACCGTTACATGGGGGCTATACGATATCGTGGACCTATATAGATAATTCTCTGCCGAGGTATAAAGTACCCACAAGGAACTCCTTGTGTGGATTTTCAGACAATTCCGTTGAAAAATGTGAGTAAAATCATCAAAATACCGAATATCGGGGGGTACCGTTATATGGGGGTTATACGATATTGTGGACCTATATAAATAATTCTCTGCCGAGGTATAAAGTACCCACAAAGAACTCCTTGTGTGGATTTTCAGACAATTCCGTTGAAAAATGTGGGTAAAATCATCAAAATACCGAATATCGGGGGGTACCGTTACATGGGGGCTATACGATATCGTGGACTTATATGGACAATTCTCTGCCGAGGTATAAAGTACCCACAAGGAACTCCTTGTGTGGATTTTCAGACAATTCCGTTGAAAAATGTGGGTAAAATCATCAAAATACCGAATATCGGGGGGTACCGTTATATGGGGGCTATATGGAAACGTGGACCTACATGGCCCATTTACGAACTTAACCTGCCTACTGGGAAAAAATACATGTGTGCAAAATTTTAGCCTTCTATTCAAATTTGTTCGAAAGATAGCGTGATTACAACAGACAGACAGACGGACAGACAGACAGACAGACATGGCTAAATCGTCTTAGAATTTTACGCTGATCAAGAATATATATACTTTGTTGGGTCTGACATGAATATTTCGAGGAGTTACAAACGGAATGACAAAACCAGTAAAGAAAGTCTTAAAGTCGGGCGGGGCCGACTTTATGATACCCTACACCACTTTACTAATTTAGTAGAGCTCCACATAACAATTAAAAGTTTTTATGGGAGAATTCAATCATACACGCTATGATTATAATTATAATTTAAAGTTCAAAGGACTAAACATGCCGAAGCATTTGTATCTTTTAAATTCGGACTTGTATTGACCATTTGGTGCACAATTAATTTGAAATCGGATAAATATATATATGGGAGCTATATCCAAATCTGAACCGATCTCGATAAAATTTGGCAAAGATATTTCTGAGCTGTATTTGATATATTTCCCTGAATATCGTTGTTACGGAGTGCATATTACGGTTGTGGGTAACAAATATAACAAATCGGATGAATAATATATATGGAGGCTATAGCTATATCTGAACCGATCTTCACCAAATTTGACATACTAGCTTCTAGACTCAATTCGGTCGTATGTGCCAAATTCCATCCCATTTGGACAAATATTAGACGTTTGGTGCACAATAAAAGTTAAATCGGCCGAAGTTATATATGGGAGCTATATCCAAATCTGAACCGATCTCGATAAAATTTTGCAATGTATTCCTGAGCTGTATTTGTTATATTTCCCTAAATATTGTTGTTGCAGAGTGCATATTACGGCGGCGGTGGACAAAAATAACAAATCGGATGAACAATATATATGGGAGCTATAGCTATATCTGAACCGATTTCGATCAAATTTGGCATACATATTTTCAGGCCTAATTTGGTTGCATGTGCAAAATTCCATATAATTCGGCCTGATATTACACGTTTGGTGCACAATAAAAGGCAAATCGGACGAAGATATATATGGGAGCTATATCTAAATTTTGACCGATTATCTCCAATTTCAATAGGGTTCGTCCTTGGGCCAAACAAATGATCTGTGCAAAATTTCATCTGGATCGGGCAATAAATGCGACCTGTACTTTGTTTACAAAAATACATGGACAGACGGACAGACGGACGGACGGACGGACGGACGGACAGACGGACGGACGGACGGACGGACGGACAGACGGACGGACGGACATGCATAAATCGACTCAGAATGTGATACTATGCAGATCATCAAAAGGAACTATGGGTCTATCTCGTTTCCTTTTGCCTGTTACAAACAAATGCACAAAGACATAATACCCTGACCACCTTGTGGTGTAGGGTATAATTAATATACCCTCCATAGTATGGTTAACCGAAATTGTTTGAAATTTCTTAATAGGTGCTACAGCCTGTGATTTTTAAGGAAGAGTAAAAGGAATGAGTATGTGGTACTATTTGGGGGATTAATTCTATATAAAGGATGTATCTGCTGTGTTTGAAGAACATAGTTATAATTCAAAATTTGGGATTTGGGTTGCTGTTCGGAAAAAGGGATGGAATTAGCTACTATATTTTGCATCGATTTGTATGGTTTTTTTACACTCTAAACCACATAGTGGTAAGCGTATTATGGCTTTGCGCATTTGTTTGTAACATGGAGAAGGAAGGGAGATAGACCCATAGTTACTTTTGAGGATCTTCATAGAATCACTTTCTGAGTCGATTTATGCATGTCAGTCCGTCTGTGCAGGTATTCTTGTGAACAAAATGCAGGTCGCATTTATTATCCGATTGAGATGAAATTTTCCAACCAATGTTTGTTTGGCCCAAGGACGAACCATATTGAAATTGATAAGAATTGGTTTAAATTTAGATATAGCTCCCATATATAGTTTTAACCGATTTCGGGTTAATTGTGCACTAAATGGCCAATATCAGCCCAAAATTTGGTGAAAATCGGTTCAAATAGAGCTTAAACTCACATATATATGTTTCATTCAATTTGGTCATTAAGTCCCCCAAATTCGTAATATGCATTCGAAAGTGGTAGTATGCATTTGGAAACATTGATATTTGGTACCAGATATCTTATAGATCTTGGAAATACCTTTGCCAAATTTTATTGAGATTGGCTAAGATTTGGATATAGATCCGATATATATCTTTAACCGATTTCGGGTAAATTGTGCACCAAATAACCAATATCAGTCCAAATGACCTGAATTCTGGTACATCCGACCGAATTCAGTATAGAAGCAAGTATATCAAATTTGGAGAAAATCGGTTCAGATATAACTATGTCTTCCATATGTATCCCACAACAATGATATTTGGTACCAGATATCTGCCTAATTGTAGCAAGATCGGCTCAGATTTGGATATAGCTCCCATATATATCTTCAATCGATTAATTGTGTACCAAATGGCTAATATCAGCCCAAATGGATAGAATTTGACTCCGATATATATATTTTTATACCCTACAACACTATGTGTTGGGGGTATTATAAGTTTGATTGGGCCAAAAATTATGTAACACCTCGAAATATTGGTTTCCCACATAGGAAAGTATATATGGATCTTCCTATCTCGCCGAGCTTAGTCGATCTAGCTATGTATGTCCGTCCGTCCGTCTGTCCGTCTGTCCATGTTAATTTGTAATCACTCTACAGGTCGCAATTATGGCCCGATCTTCACGAAATTTAGAATGAAGGTGGGGCTAGGACTAGAGTAGAACCCTATTTCTTTTGGAGATGATCGCACAATGACGCCATTATGGACCAATCGAAGCGGAAGTTAGCATGGGGCTAGAGCTTCGGGCTGGGCAGAAGCCTTCCTATTTTGATGGTCATCGGGTAATATTTAGTTGGTGAAATAGACCATAACATTTCTTTTTAATAAAAGTCAAATTTTATATTAAACCGCGAATATTTTTAATCCCGACGAAATCATAAATAGGTGGACAGGTCAATTC